CGTCGCACCTACCAAAAGAACATCCCCCACATCACAGCTTAGGACAACGACGGTTTGGGGTTGCCTGGCAGGCACGATCCGACAACTCCATCCGTCTTCTCCTGTGCACCTTCCTTCTCGTCGCTCTTTCCATCCGTCATCTCTCCTCGCCATTTCCGTCCGTTGGTCGCCCCTCCTTTTTCTCTTCCGTCCACCTCTTCTGCCAGCGCCTATTTATTACCCTTCCACATCGGCAAGCCACCGTCTAGGTTTTGGAGGTACCGCTTGGGAGACTTGGCTATTGCAGACAATCCCACAGCCTGCAGCGCAACCTCAATTTCTGGACCAACAGATGTTGCAGCACCGCGCCACCCCAGAGTGCACCTACACCTGGCTGCCTTCTGCAGGTCGCCTCATTTGACACTGCCTGCACACCACTGCGTCCACCTCTGCGCGACCGGGACGACAAAAATGGCTGACGGCCCCGTCGCTGCCACCGACGAGGCTCTTCGCGCTGCTGCCGAAGAGCTTCTCAAAGCCCAAGACGAACACGACTTTGAACTCGCCATCGCCCACTCCCTCGAAGACGGTCCCGACGACGCCCACACGAGCCCCGCAGAGAAGCAGGAAGCTTGGAAGAAGGTCGAAGCTTCGCAGAAAAAGGTCGAGGATAAGAAGCGACAGAAGCAAAGCTTGGAGAAGTCTTTACAGGCGGCCAAGAAAGCGGCCGAGAACGCACGCAACCCTTCGAGCAAGAAGAACGGCAAGATGGATACGTTCCCGATCGATATCAACGGCTGGGGAGGTATGTGTTTCTCCTCTTGTTTCTCAATCTGCTCTCGGACATACCTATCATCACCGCACTGGTTGCCGCCGCGATGTAGGCAACTGTCTCGGAGAGGGCCTGTTTCACTTCATTCTTGCTAGCTCGAAAACCTCTGCTTCGCATCCGAAGCCATCATCACTTCACTTTCTGCCAGGCCTCCTTTATGGCCAATCCCTTTCTTTCCACTATCCTATACATTCTATTCTTTCGCAATATATAAGAACTTCACAGACTGACTTGTTGCAGCCACGTATCCGTATAGGACGCCGAATGCCGCCAGCTCCTCGACGGTTCAAAGCATTCCGAGGACCCCTTGGGACATGGGCAGCTCAGGTTATGCACAGCCTTGCCCTGCTGGCAGCTCCTTCACCCCGCAGTTTTTCGGCAACGATGGTGGTCGATCTACGCCCTCCAACAACAAGAGATCGCATGGATCTACCTCGTTCGACTATTCTAGTCAGGGTCGCAACAAGGCTCCGCGCACTAACGATGCGTCGGCGGACGTCATCGACCTTACGGGGTAAGTAGTCATCTCAGCCTAGCATCAAGGATGAGAATACAGACCGTGAAGAAGGAAGACAAGGCTAATCAGTGCCAGGGACGATGACTCGATCAACGCATCCGTCTCGCGCTCGAGACAGCAATACCACCAGCAAAGACACCAACGGCCCTCAGCGGCGAGCAGCTTTCAGGGTGGCCCAGCAGATATGTTGTCTGGTGGCTCGGCGTTCGGATCAAGCCCCATCCCCCCCGATTTGGACTTCCAGTCCGGCTTTGACCAGTTTACGAGCCAGTATTTGAACGGCTTCCCTGACGCGGGCCCAGCCTACAATCAGATGAACAACTTTGCAGGTTCTTCATCCCGAGCAAGCGCTACACCCAATCCCGGCTTCGATTCCATGCCCTCCATGCCCGGAGCCTTCATCTCAGACGAGGAGGAGGATTATGAAAGCCCCTTCGTTTCAGCCAGCCAGTACCTCCGCGGACAAAGCCACCCTTACCAGCCCGCTCTCAGCACCGCTGAAGCCATCAGTAGAACTAGGAATTTCAACTTCATGGATCTGACTGACGGGTCGGGAAATCCCCTGGATGCTCGTGTTGCGTCAATCATGCAGGATATCCACGACGACCCTCGTAGATCCCGAGAAGAAGTCGAGGCGCTCTTGAAAAACGTGCACGCAGGCATGGATATCCCCGAGGAGGATCGTGAGGGAACACCGGATGCCATGAGATATCCTCTCTACGCTCACCAGAGAGTTGCTCTCACTTGGATGAAGCGTCAAGAGAACGGAACCAACAAGGGAGGCATTCTTGCCGACGACATGGGCCTGGGAAAGACGATCTCTGTCCTGTCCTTGCTGGTATCTCATAAGGCAGAGTCCGGCCCCAAGGTATGTGCTCGTCTTTTGATCTGAACTTTTCACCCTGCTGACCTGATTTCAATAGACGACCCTCATCGTGGCCCCACTCTCTCTCATTCGGCAGTGGGAAGAGGAGATCAAAAAGAAGATCAAGTCGGACGATGCCCTTTCGGTTTTTGTGTTCCACAACCAGCAAAGGATGAAGGCAACGGAGCTCATGAAGTACGATGTCGTCTTGACTACTTACGGAACTTTGGTATCCGACAAGAAGAAGCTGGCAAACTGGTGGAAGGATCTGAACGGGCGCCAAGCCAACACCAAGACGGATCCTAGTCTCGCCAGCGCAGTCTCCTTCTTCCACCCCAATCATTCGATGTTCTACCGTGTGGTTCTGGACGAGAGTCAGATGATCAAGAACCACAAGGCGCAGTCATCTAACGCGGCTGCTGCGCTGCAAAGCAAGTACCGCTGGTGCCTGTCAGGAACTCCGATGATGAATGGCGTCGACGAGCTCTACTCGCTGTACAATTTCCTCAAGATCAAGCCGTACTGCGAGTGGACGGCGTTCCGCAGGGCTTTCGGAGTACTCTTTGGCAAGAAAGGCGACCCCAAGGCCCAGGCGATGCGCAACCTCCAAGTTCTCCTGAAGGCAACACTCTTGCGACGCACAAAGACCTCCGAGATTGACGGAAAGCCCATCTTGCAACTGCCCGAGAAGAAAGAGGAGGTTGTGTACGCCGAGTTGGACGAAGACGAGCGTCAGTACTACACGGATCTGGAGACCAAATCCCAAGTGCAGATCAACAAATACCTTCGCAAGGGTACTCTGGGCAAGCACTACTCACACGTTCTTGTGCTGCTGCTTCGTCTGCGCCAGACTTGCTGCCACCCTCACCTTCTTCTTGACTCGGATGAGGCGGTTCCTGACGTGGATGATGGGATGCTGGAGCGCGTGAAGCAACTTTCTCCTGCAGTCGTTCTTCGACTCACTGAGAAGTCTCGCGCTCTCGATAACGCCAACGCCGACGCTATTGACGAAGGCTTTGAGTGTCCCATCTGCTACGATATAATGCCGGATCCTACCATTCCCCTTCCGTGTGGTCATGAGCTTTGCGCTGGCTGCCTGAAGCAGCACGTTGACAACGCCAGACGCGACAACATTCGGAACGGTGAGGAAAACGGCCACGTTAAGTGCGCTGTCTGCAGAGGCCCGCTCGATCCGCAAAACATCATCACCTTCTCAGCGTTCAAGAAGGTTCACATGCCTGATGAGAATAGCGGAAGTTCAGAAGAGGGTGAAGAGTCTGACGGCTCTGTTTGGAGCGACGATGAAGAAGATGAAGACGCCGAGGACGCCGAGGACGCCGAGGACGCCGACAAGAACGGCAACCTCAAAGACTTTGTCGTCGGCGACGACATCTACGATAAGATTAGTGATGATGACGACGATAGCTCGTCCGCCGGCCCACATGCCACTCCGGAGCCGAAACGCAAGGCGTCTAAGAAGAAGGGCAAGAAGAAGATTACATCTCCTAGTAAGGAGGACAAGAAGAGATTGAAGAAGATCAAGGGTACCATGTTGCATTCTCTCCGCAAAGACGCCAAGAAGAACGCTACTGCCTGGCGAGATTACACCAAGTACCTCAGCCACCACTGGCTCAGCTCGGCCAAGGCAAGGGCTTGCATGGGTCTTCTGCGCCGGATCCAGGAGACTGGCGAGAAGACCATTGTGTTCTCTCAATGGACCATGTTGCTGGATCTTCTCGAGGTGGCCATGAAGAAGGACGGCCTCAACATTAAGCATTGCCGCTACACGGGCGAGATGACCATGGCCCAGCGCGACAACGCCGCTTTCGATTTCACGACCGACCCTAGAATCAAAGTCATGCTGGTCTCGCTGCGAGCTGGAAATGCTGGTCTCAACCTCGTTGCCGCTTCCAACGTCGTGATCATGGATCCATTCTGGAACCCCTACATTGAGATGCAGGCTATTGACCGAGCACATCGTATAGGTCAACAGAAGCCCGTCAAGGTCTACCGCATCCTGACCCAGCAGACGGTCGAGGACCGTATTGTGCAGCTTCAAGAGAAGAAGCGCGAGACCGTTGATGCTGCTTTAGATGAGCGCGAGGGTGCCAAGTTGGCCGGCCTGAGCTTGACGGAACTGCGTTTCCTGTTCAACCTCTAAGCAAACACCCGCAGTGCACCATGCCACACGCAAGAACCATGTTCACGCAGTATCCGACAAAATTCGCTTTCCGCCCATCCTGTTTGCGCTATGAGCGCCGTCTCTTATTCCTTGGTACCGTATCTGGAGTCCGGCAGAGGAGGAAAAGGCCATGTTTATGGAATGTCACCTGGGAGGTTTACGATTCTTACGACTTTTTTTCATCATTTGCATTACTACATGGGCTTGGCTGGCATAGGAAGGCATGGGAAGGAACACGGTCGTACAGGAGACGCTTCACAGCGGGATACCAGGTAGATCCGATAGAGATCAATTGCTAAAAGACCTTTCACACTGCATAGGTCCAGTGATAGTGGCGTCAAAAGTCACAAAACGCACTTATACGAATCATGGGTGCTCATGAATCGAGAACTCTTGGTGAAGGTAACTTTGTTTTATTTTACTACTGCGAGATCTAGCAGCGCGACGTAAAGATGTTCTGACGATGTGTCAGGTGTTATACAAACCGTTCATGTAACGCCTGCTTTATCGCATTATTTGTCTATTGAAACTATCCTCCCAATAGTGACTGTGCCGAGAGCACCGCCGTGGGAAACGTAGAGGCAGAGGCCGAGGAAACCCCAATTTTTTTTATCAATGCCTTGAGCTAATCCAGAAGGTCGTCGATGCTATGGCAGTCGTCGTTGTCGTCGATTCTGGCTAGCATCCTAGAAAGCCCCTGAAAGGTGTAAGGGCAGTCCCACAGGTAGCCCTCAGGTGAGGGTAAAGAGTAGTCCTCTGCCAAAGGTGACGAGCAGTCCCCTGGTGAGTTCGAGGAGTAGTCCCCTGCTGAGGCCGAAGAATAGTCCTCTAGTGGGGGTAAGCGATAGTCCTCCGGTGAAGGTATGTAATCCTCTGGTGAAGTAGCCATGGCCGCCTAGGCCGCAGAACTGGCCAAGTCGCTGGACTGGACGACGGCGTTGACGATGTGCGGGATCTGCATGGGCTCCGCGGGGCCGTAGGGGGACCACTTCCAGCGCTGTATTTTGGACTTTTGGTCCGCGGTGCGCCAGGCCGCGCCGACGTTGAGGATCGGTCTCTCGTCGGCGTCGTCGAGGATGTCGAAGCGGACCTCGCGGTTCTCGGTGTCGATGTCCCTGATGGCGGTGCCGCGGATGGATTTGGTCCACTCCGGGCGGGCGGGTCCCGAAGGCGACGGCGCTTGGGGAGGAGGGATGAGGGACATGGACCAGTCTGTCAGGGCGTGGGTGGCTGCGTCGGTGAGGTAGTCCTTCAAGGCGGAGAAGCTCGGGTAGGGGTCGCGGGAGGGCGGATAGGAACCCTGGAGGGTATTGGGCGGCTCGGCGGCGTTTGGAAGCAGCTGGACTTGGAATTGGGTTGTTGTCAGGGGCGTAAGGAAGGTGCGGCCACGGATCTGCAGGCGGCACGTGGCGTTCAGGATGAGCTCGAGTTGAAAATCGGCTGGGGCGGTTGTGATCTGGTTGGCGAGGGCTTGTGACGCGCTGGGGCGGACGGAAGAGCCGCCGGAGCTGTTGCGTAGATCTGCTGTCGGGTAAGGCGGGGTGTTGAGGATGAAGTTGGCAGCGCCAACGCCGGCCTGGCGGAACACGTTGGTGAGGTCACCGGAGAACCGTGTGACTTGTTCTATCGCGCGGTCATGAAGTATCTTGGCCACGATGGGGCGGAGAAGATGATATTGGTTTTGCGTCTGGTTGCGGCGCTGGTGAGGCGGTGTCGGTCGTAAGCGTTGAAGTTCATTAAGTCTATGAGCGTGACTTAGGAAGATGTGCAGGCTCAGGTGCGTCGCTTCTGCAAGTGTGTTGTCTGGATGGTCCTCGGCCTTATTGGCGATGTCTTCGAGGTTCTCAAGTTCGAGGGTGAGGCTTGGGCCGGAGGCTGGATTGAATGTGATGGCGGAATGGCTCGCGCGGACACCGTAGGAAGCGAGTGAGTGCGCTTCACGGTGCAGTTCGTGCCAAAGCTCCTGGGCAAAGATGGTGTTGCGCGCTTCGAGAACACGGTCTTGGAGCAGGGCAGTATCTGGCACGGATGTGCCGAAGGCGAGACGACCCGTTGTCTTGCCTGATCTGCCGATTGTGACGCCGAGACGTTGGCAGCCAGCACCGACCCTGCCGTGTTGAAGCATTGCCGAACCGTCATCACCACGCCGTAAAGGGGCGAGACTGCTATTCCTGAACTCGGGTGACGCTTCTGAGAATCCGAACCTCACGCCCAGCGTTTGCTTCTCCGCCGGCAATCTGCACATTGACCACCCAGCCTGGCGCACCGCCAGGATCTCTCCCCAGTACTTTTCTTCGCGCTCGACCTCCTTGCTCAAGTGGCTAGCTGCCTTATCCGCCGACTCCTTTGTAGTGTTGATATCGATCAGGGCCCAGCCTAATGAGACGTCGCGGTTGTCCTTTGCTTTCTCGGCGTCGCGCTGTTTCTGCTCGTCGTTGTCTTCGCGCTTGGCGATCCCGAGGCTGCCGATGCCTACCCAGTCTCGCAGCTGGGCTGAAAGGGTAGTACCGGCTTGGGCAGGGCTCTCTTTCGAAAGAAGTAATGAGATGAAATCGAGTGCCATGAGCGCGGAGTTGTTGGCGGCACTGTAAAACGGTTGTCAGCACAAAATCTTCCAGGCAAAAGAGTACACCGACGCACTCGATATTTCTCAGCACTTCATTGCGCGCGGCGTTGGCGTCGGCTGGCTCCTCCTCGTCCTCGTTACTGTCCGCCATGGCAGTGTCCTCCTCCTCCTTAACGTCGGCGACACCATTCTTGCGGTCCTCAATTTCTTGCTTCAGGCTTTCTTCCGTGACGTTGCGAAAGCCGCGCTCTGATTGTACGCGCGCGATGAATTCGGCAAGGTTCTTAGGCTTGCGACCGCCTGTCGGGGTTGGTTGCAGGGAGGAGAAGGGCATTGAGCTGCCCGACGCCATGGTGGGCAGTTTCTCGGTTGATTGATCGAAGACGGTCGGCTCGGTATATCGTGTACGGAGGAGGTCAGGTCAGGTTTTGCGTGCTAGCATGTTGCATCAAGGTTGCTGGTATTGGTGAGGCTGTGTTGCAAGGCTGGAGTTGGCTGTTGGAAGTCGCTACGGATTGGCTGGGGTGACCGTGATGGCCGTAGCTCCACAGAGCTTCTGGCCAATCAATCGGGCATGTCCTCGGTCAGGCGCGCCTTCACACCGGTGCCTCACCGAAGCACGTATCGATAAGACCAAATCAAACGTCACTGGGGTTATCATCAAGGCTTTCATCCCGTCGACGAGGTTCTCGTATCAACTAAGCAAGCAGGCTGGATAACACAGAGATTCAGGCTAGAATACCTCGCCGTCAGATCCGCGTTGGTGGGCTATGGCGTGAAGCAGAGGTGAAAGCTGGCACTCGGCGGCATTGTGGGAAGGCTTCAAACTGCGAGATGATTGAATACTGAATATCATGACTTGTGGTTGCACATGGGCAATTGAAGACTGAGGTCGAATGACTTGTCACTCGATGCCGTCGTTGCGGATTCAGAGTGTTCGCTTTCACTTCGGAGGCTTATCCCTGCATCCCCGCCAGCGCCTGGTCCTCCGCTGTTTGGGCTGGCATCTCTAGCCAGACGTCTTGAATGCATACTTAGACGGCTGCCGACGCCATTTATCTGATCAAGAATGACATGCAATTCGCGACATGAGGTTGCGTAATAATGTAGATTAAGAGACTCTGGAATGGTGTTGATTTGTTCTGATGAAGAAGGGTTTAGGGTCAGAGAATCTGTCAATAAGACCTCCCTCCACAGTCGCGGAGCCGCGCTCAGCAAAATCACTGGATTCAGCGGCAGCAATGACCGACTGCGCTTGACCCTGGACTGCTAGCGCGTTTGGCGAGCCCCGCACTGGACTGGAGCTGGATGGAGGGGCAGTCTGAGTCGACGCTGGCGACAAGTCTGGACCTGGTAATAGTGGTGGATAAGGGTGGAAGCAGCCCAGAATAAGCCCGAGATGGGAGCAAGCCGAAGGAACCTTGTTTGGCGTTAAAACCCCTCACTCAATAAAAAAGAGCGAGAAAAAAGAGCATTGCCAGCCAGTTGCAGTATTTCCCTCACCAATGAGTGTGACTCGAAATCGGTTGACACAGCTATTCATGTGATGGATTCATTCGCCCTCAGTCAATCATTGAGCGATTAACAGCCAGCACCTCAGGCGCTGCAGATTTCCATTTCTTTTCTAGGACAGACAGCAGGCCGGCCTGCTTTCAAGACACAGAACGTCAGCGAGGATCCTTCTGCAACGAAGGGCTCAGCTAAAGATAATCCCCTGTCGGCGGGCTGACCAGTAACACGGCCTCCCGTGCCTGATTCAGCGACGCAAAAGGTTTCCATAGGCCGGTTGTGACGCCGGGCCCTGCAAATGTGACGACGCTCTGCGGTCTCTGCGGCCTCGGCGGCGACTTTGCTGGGCTTGGCCGGAGCTCCCCCGCGCCACGATAAGCGATAAGAGCTCTCAGCCCACAACGTCACTGCCCTGATGCTGGCTTAGCGGGTGTCTTCTCAGGTAGGTGTGGCATCTGTTGGGAGGGGTTGAGGTGCGGCGCCTGGTGCTTGCGCCGTTGCGGTGGTGCATCGGGGAGGGGCTGTCAGGTTGTGTTTTTTTTTTTTTCTTCTGCTTTGTTGTATGTTATTTTTTCGAGGTGCCAGCCCACGTTGCGACTCAAGCTGCTCTGCTCTCTGCATGCTCCAACCGTTTGGTGTCCATCATTCCCCGCCATAAAACATCCAAGGGCGCGCGCGCTATTATTATCCTGCCCTGGGAACCGACTTGTGTTTTGTGGTTTTGGGTTCGACCGGTCGTTATTTCTGCGCGCCCTCCCGAGCCAAAAACAACCTGAACCCCAAGCCGAGCCAAGTGTGTCTCGCAGCTTCCCTTCGCCCTGCTCCGAGAGTTCCAGTTCCAGGTGCAAGCCCAAGCCCCTCAACCAAAGAAAAAAGGTACATACCTCCCGCATAGCTTCCAACCACCTCGCAGCTTCCAAGCTCTTGGCACCTACCCAAGGTACCTTTCCATACCTCTCGCCTGCTCGCAAGTCAGTTCATGATCGTTGAACACTCCGCCCCCCTCCCTACCTCTGCCTGCGTTCCCCTAGTTTTGCGCACGGCCAGCCAACTTGCACCACCATCCCTTGGACATATTATACCACCATACTCGTACAAATATCCTCTAAGCCGACGTCGACTGACTGTCTTTCTCTAAAGGGTCTCCCTCCCCGTTTCCCTAGTTGACTCCGGAGTCCCGACAACCTACGAAACACTCCGTCCTCGACGTGCAAAACCATGGCCGCCAAGAAGAAGATCGCCATCATGACCTCGGGAGGTGACTCCCCGGGCATGAACGGCGTAGTCAGAGCCGTTGTCCGAACAGCAATCCACATGGGCTGCGATCCCTACTGCGTCTACGATGGATATGAGGGCCTGGTCCAGGGCGGCGACCAGATCCGCAAGGCTGCTTGGGGAGATGTGCGCAACTACCTTGGACAGGGCGGTACCTTGATTGGAACTCGCCGCTGCATGGCCTTCTACGAGCGTCCCGGACGATTGACTGCCGCGAAGAACATGATCCTCAACGGAATTGATGCCCTGATCATCTGCGGTGGTGACGGCTCCTTGACTGGTGCTGACAAGTTCCGTGCCGAATGGCCCTCCCTGGTTGAGGAGCTTATCTCGTCCGGCCAGCTTAAGAAGGAGCAGGTCGAGCCTTACAAGAACCTCAACATTGTTGGTCTGGTCGGATCCATTGACAACGACATGTCAGGCACCGATGCCACTATCGGCTGCTACTCGGCCCTCGAGCGCATCTGCGAGATGGTCGACTACATCGAGGCCACGGCCTCTTCCCACTCCCGAGCTTTCGTTATCGAAGTCATGGGCCGCCATTGTGGTTGGCTGGCACTCATGGCCGGTGTTGCTACGGGTGCTGACTTTATCTTCATCCCTGAAAAGCCTAGGGAGGAGAACTGGGAGGAAGAGATGTGCGAAATCGTGAAGAGGGTGAGCATGTCCAGAGGCCGGTACTGCTGAACAAGCTAACACACCCCAGCACCGAAGCTTCGGCAAGCGCAAGACCATCGTCATCATCGCTGAGGGCGCCAAGGACAGCAATGGCAAGAAGATCACGGCAGAGATGGTCAAGGATTTGCTCGCGGACAAGGACGGGCTAGCTCTGGATACTCGTGTCACAACCCTTGGTCACGTCCAGCGTGGAGGTACCGCCGTTGCTTACGACAGAATGCTGGCGACGCTGCAGGGTGTCGAGGCCGTCAAGGCTGTTCTGGAAGCCACCCCCGAGACCGAGACTTGCTTCATCGCCATTACCGAGAACCAGATCGTTCGCAGGCCTCTCATGCAAGCCGTTCAGGACACCAAGACGGTCGCGCAGGCCGTTGAGGAGAAGGACTTTGACAAGGCCATGTCTCTTCGAGATGCCGAGTTTTCCGAGATGTTCAACTCATACAATTTGACGACAAACGTCAGAGTAGACGACCACCATCTTCCTGAGAAGGAGGTCCGTATTAATCATCCCAAAACAATGAGACTACGCTGACAATGGAGCAGAGAATGAAGATTGGATTCATCAACGTCGGCGCGCCAGCTGGTGGTATGAACGCTGCTGTTCGCGCTGGTGTCGCGTACTGCCTTTCCCGCGGCCACGAGCCCGTTGCTATTCACAACGGTTTTGCTGGTTTCGCAAGACATCACGGGGACAAGCCCGTTGGTGCCGTGAGACCCTTCGATTGGCTTGATGTTGATAGCTGGGCTAGCAGGGGAGGATCAGAGATTGGAACCAACAGAGAGCTTCCGTCCGAGTCCGGCATGGAGCTCATCGCCAACCTCATTGAGAAGTACGAGTTTGACGCTCTTTTCCTGGTTGGTGGCTTCGAGGCCTACCACGCCGTGTCACAGCTGCGGAAGGCCAGGGAGTTGTACCCCTCCCTGTGCATTCCAATGGTGCTCCTGCCTGCCACCATCTCCAACAATGTGCCCGGCTCCGAATACTCTCTTGGCTCCGACACTTGCTTGAACGAGCTGGTCCAGTACTGCGACAAAATCAAGCAGTCAGCGTCGGCAACTCGCCGCCGTGTCTTCGTTGTCGAGACCCAGGGCGGTAAGTCTGGGTACATTGCTACACTTGCTGGCCTTAGTGTCGGCGCAAGTGCTGTCTACACGCCAGAGGAGGGTATGGACCTTGAAATGCTGGCTGCGGACGTCCGTCACCTCCGCGATGTCTTTGCAAAGGACAAGGGCCAATCATCGTCCGGTCGCCTTATCCTTATCAACGAGAAGGCCGACGATGTCTTCAACGCCAAGCTCATCGCCGACATCATCCGCAAGGAAGCGCGCGGAAGATTTGAGTCCCGCGACAGCATCCCCGGACACGTCCAGCAGGGAGGAGTCCCGTCGCCGATGGACAGATGCCGCGCCGTCAGATTGGCCATCAAGTGCATGCAGCATCTCGAGGAGTTCCGGCCCAAGTCTCATAACAGGTGCAAGAGGGATCCCATGAGCGCCTCTGTCATTGGAATCAAGGGTGCCAGCGTCATCTTCACCCCGGTCCTCGATCTCGAGGACCACGACACGGATTGGAAGAACCGCCGTCCCAAGGACGCTCACTGGGCGCACATGATGGAGGTGGTTAACATGCTCTCCGGCAGACCCTCTCACCACAAGCCCGAGAGGAAACTCAGTGGCCTCAAGGCCAAGGACGTCAAGAGAGGCCTCGAGTAATGAGCAGTACGACATGATAGAGTAGAGAAAGCGGGGTGTTAATGCAGGAAAAACATGGGGAGCAACAGGTGTTGTTTTAACGGGCGTGTCGGGGTTCGGTCTTTGATTACCTAGGGAAACTTATGAAATGCATTTCTATTAGACTCCAGCCCGGATGACCCGCGACATTGCATTAAA